TGCACGGGCTTCTATTTTGAGCGTTGTGTCCCGATCAGGGCGAGTAGGCTTCGCAGCCAGGTTCAATTGATGCTATGGACGAAAGACTCTTGAAAAGGTGGTGCGGCGTCTTGTCGCACGGGCTGTTCCACAGCGCGTGCTCACGTGGATACCTGTGGCGCGCGGTCAACTGCCCTGAGCCGTTACATTTGCGAGGCAGACGGGTATTTTGGCCGCTTTTACTGCCAGTTAAGCGGCGGCGGCGACGCGACGAGGCGGCTGAGTGCTCGTGGTTAAGGGAGCGCGTGCCTTGCATGACGAGGTCGTTACGGTAAACCCTCTTGCCACGGCGGCGGGCCGAAAAGGAGCCGTAAGGGGTTGCGAATGCGACGAGACGTGGGGTGTTCCCCGCAGTCCTGTTCGAGGGACGCGGCTGCCCGTCGGATGCGATCGCGACAATGTTCGTATACGCTTGCGCCGAGAGACGTTAGTCCCTTTCCGGCACGATGATTCCGCTGTGGGGTTCGTGCTCTGATTACCAACGCGCGCTCCTGACGCGGGAATAAAACTTTTTGGACAAACAGCAGGGAGTACCTCCCAGGTAGCCCTCTCCAATTTCTTGGGACGCGTCGAGGGCCTCGCAGCACGTTAGGTAGGCAGCTATGATTGCCCCACAAGGACCCATCCTCCACCAGCAACCCTGTGGCAGTGTCTATCCGCCGTTGTGCAGCTGCACCACGGCTCGGTCCTACTTCACTTGCGCCCCGAAAATCTCCCGGCTGACTGGTCAGCGGCTGCGAGGCTCTCCGCGGCGGGTGGGTGGCATTCCGTTATGATAGCCTGGGGAAACTTCCATCCCCGAATACCCCTACTGGTCGGTCGTGCCGCAGGGTGAGAGTCGGCAGCACTGCATTCCTTCCGATTACACTAATCCGCGAGGCTATCTCTACGCCGACACCTTTGGATCCCTGCGGGCTTCCCCAATGATTTCCCTCATCCGAGCATACAATCCTATCTCCTCTTTTTCCCATCTCCCACCGTTCGGAAATACCGCTTTCCGTAGTCTGTTAACCCAAGGTATCAACGGCTGGTAGTGTGGCGTAAAGTTATCTTCTGCGGATTTGATAAAGTCCCTTTCGTAAGACACTTGTCCCTTTTTCTCCTTCGCCAACAATTCCATGCTGATATAATTCCACTGGTCAAACTCAGGAACGACTCTGCTCTTATCTGGCCCGTCATAATGGACGCATATCCAGAATAAGACCCAGAAGAATAACTCGAGGTCGTGCATAAAGGAGTGTTGCTTGCCGAAAAGGGCACCGATGGCCATAAAAGCCCGCGTGCCGGTCTTGCCCTTTGCTCCGGAAGGGCACTTTCGTCGCTTTCGTACGGCGAGATCCAGGTCAATCAAAAAGGAAGGCCAGGAAGGGTTGTTGCCGTCCTCGTTAATTAGGAGATTGTTAATCGAAATGTCCCTATGTAGGAGGCCGGCCTTGTGCAAGGACTCGTGTCCCTCAATGCAACCTTCCAGCGCGGCAAAGAAAGCTAACCGAGAGCCTGCTTTGTAAATGGGCTTTCCATAGTCACAAAGGATGACACGTCGGTGCACCCGGTTCGATATTGCGTCGCCGCTAGCCTTTGTTGGGGATGCCGAATAAAATCGCTTGCTGGGGGGGAGGGCGGCGCCAATCTGGCTGGATAATCGCTTCTTGCCAGCAATGCTGCTGCTGCTGCTGCTGCGGCCTCTCTGCGAAGGCCCAAACGCGATTGCACTTGGCGGCGGCATCGAGCGCTCCGGCCGGTAATTGCTAGCTGTTGTAATAGCCAGTCCTCGGCGAACGTTGCTTCGAATATCGTCATTTGTGCCGTGCATTTGAACCGTTTCGTGGTGGTAGTATCGGGCCATATTAACCACGCTCTTCTTAGTTGCCTTTTTAAGCAGGTCCCCTTCTTCCTCGCGCTCCGTATACTGCTACGAGTCCTTAATCACGAGCTGTGTCTGTGGGTTTCCTTCCCGATGTGCTTTCCAGCAAGTGGTTGCGCGGCCTGCGATACAAGGTGCACGTGCCATCAGCTCGTCAATAACGAGATGCTCTGTCCGGCCGTCCCGTTCGATCACAATAAACCGCTGCCCCCCTGCCTTAACGACTATGGGGTTAAAGCCAAGCTTCTCTTCACTTATCCATAAAAACCCGAGAATTGTAAATATAAACTGCAGCTCATTTTTGTTTATGTCGAACTTGTCGAACGCAATTCCGCCCAGCCGGTCAAACTCCCACAACCTTATAAAAGACCCGCAAAAAGTGAATCCTAAAACGAAACGGCGGGTATTTTGCGCCGTAAACACTTTTTTTGCATACCTCCCCAGATTAAGCTACGCCTTTAAGGCTATGTCTGCAAAGCGGTTGCTCTTTGGCTTTCCAGGCACGAGGATCTGCGACCAGTGGCATCTCGAATCTCTTCCAGCATTAGGGTCGTCTACCAAGCCGACGTCCAGCTTCCGCTTTCCTGTTAAACCCTGGATCGGTTTATTAGGCTGCGCTAGTGGCTTTCGTCGATATGTTAAGGTCGGCTTGTAGTCTTTTAAAAATGCGTCCAGCTTCGCGAGAATGTCGTTAAACCAGGCCAACACGTCGCTCTCTTTTGCGCCTGCCGGCCATTCTCGCCAGCCTTCGCTGCTAAAAAGTGGATTGCTGCTTTCCGTGCACTTTTTCAAAACGGCCTCGGACGCTGCATCTAGACCTGCCACGCGTCCGAAAAAAGCTTCGCGGAAGCGAGGAAGCCCGACGTAAAAAGGACCAAGCTCCGACCTAAGGACCCTATCCACATCTTGGCGGTATTCCGAAAAGTTAGCGAAACCGCCGGTATTGTATAGCCATGGGGTTTGCTGGAGGGAAGATGGCACCGGCCGGGGCGGCGGGGTAGGCTCGGTAACGGCGCGGTAAACCTGATCCCAGATAAAGGCATCGTCTGGGTCATCGGCGAGGGTTGCATTCAGCAAAGGCTTGACACGGTCAAAATCGAAGTCGTCGGAGGCGGCGGCAGAAATGAGCTTCACGAGGTCGGTTCGAAGGGCGCCCGAACTTGTCCTTGAAGCGAGCCGCCGAGCAGCAGGAAGGTTCCGTAAAGCATATAGAAGATCGAGGGTGAGATTCTGGAGATCTGCATCATAGTTAAAAGCGCATGTTCAAGCGAGGCCGAGGATCTTTCCTACCTTCTCGGTCAAGTTGACCCAGCGCGTCCAGAGTGCGCAGCACCTTCTTCTCGTTGCAGATCGAATCGAATGATGCGTGGAAGCCAGCAAGGCCGTTTCCGATGGGATTATCGCTGATGATCCGGGATTGGTCTGCCATGGCGGATTGGATGACGGCGCGGCAGACTCGAGCCCAGATCAGGGCATCATCTGGATGATCGGCGAAGGCTGCACTCAGGAGAGGCTTGACGCGGTTGAAATCGAAGTCGTCGAAGCGACCGCGGAAATGAATTCAAAAGGTCGCTTCTTGAAGCGAGCTGCCGAGCAGCAGCAAGGTTTTGTAAAGTAGATAGGAGATCGAGGGTGAGATTCTGAGATCTGCGCGTCGGTTAGAGAAGCACATTCAAGAAAATTGTATTGCCGTACCGTCTTGGCCCAGTTCGCCCAGCGCGTCCGGAGGGAACCTGCTTGTCTGCGCAGATCGAATTGAATGAGGCGCGGAAGGATCAGACCTCTTTTGGTGGAAGCGACCGGAGTCGTGATTGCGGTTGCAACCAGCCACCCACCATGATTGCGCCACATGCCATCAATTAATGAGCCATGACCTGCTGGCAATCGGCGCCACGGAACCTAGCTAATCCGGCAGATCCACGTCCGCCCCACCCGACCCCAGGAGAATCTGTGGGTTAAAAGTGGGCTCCCAGCTGCGCACGCGAGACAAGAGGATGGGCTTTGCTCTTCTTCGCCTCTTGGTTCGTCCCTTGCCTGACCTCCCTGCGATCAAAATATGCCAAATGCGGAGTAGCAATCCCACCAACGATTGGTTGTGGATTTTGTTTTGGTCAACGTGCCAGGACCGGGGCTCTGGACCTGACGATCCCTGTGCACTGGGTCTGCTCCCCCTCATGTTTTGGTACTTGGATATTTTCAGAGAAAATGGGATCCCAGGCCAGAAACGGAGGTTTTCGCCTCCAAAAACGGATGCCTCTGCTCCCCTTTGCTCCCAGCCAAGCGTTCCCCTACCGTCCAACGGCCGTCTGCTGCGGCCCACCCTACACACCCACTTATGTTCCAACCCATATGCATCATCCCTGGATGAGACGAGAAATGTGCTCCTGGCGCTTCTGCTCCCCCAATAGCACAACCCAGATACGCCACCGCGGCTGGGCTGCTAGGGGCGGCCGCGGCCCTGGTGCCTGCGGAGGTCTGGTCTGATGCCACGCAGCCTCTGGAAATATCTGCGGTAAAGGCGGCAGTTCGTCGTCGAGACAGACCGCAGTTTTTTGTTTTCTAGAGGCAGCATCGAGGCTCTGTACCCTGGCTCGGGAAGGTAGGCAGTTAACTTTAGCTCTGATAGTACACGCGGAGATGGTGACAGGGCCCCGGAGCAGAGTTCTTTTTGCTACCATACGGTCTTTCGGCAAGCGACGCGCATTCCAAGTCGACTAGAGGCGTGCATCGCCGAAGCCCCAAGGCTCGACGCTGCCGTCACCACGAGCGATGGTGATGCCGCCGACCTCCATTGTTCGCAGGTTCGGTAGTCTCATGCCGGAAAACAACTTGCTTGTAATGCAAACTGGGAAGCGTCAAATTATCGTGCTTATAAGCTAGGGGCAGATATTGGCCCGTGCGATACACAGGTCCACCGATTCTGCCGGTTCTGACCGCTTGCCCCGCAAATGTTAGGGATCTACGCTTGTCAAGATCTACGCTTGTCAAAAAGGCAAGGCTACGATAGAACAATGTAGATTTGACTATTTAAAGCTATCAGGTGAAGGGAGAAGTTGGCACGCTACGCCAAGTTGGATTTGCAGAGATCTTGAAGCCTGGTGGACATTGTGCACGGGCCACCACAGCCACGGTGGCACAGTGCAGTGCCCCCAAGGCACGCCACGCCACAACAGTAGAGTACCAAGAAAGGGTTCGGTGCCTTGCACCTGGACCCGCGATCAAAGTTTTACCCATTGTGCACGGGCCCAACCGCCCAATCAGTGCACACAGTGGATCCAATAGGTGGAAGCCTGCCAAGGCCTGCCGATCCATCATGTTAAAATGTGAATCGGGAAACCATGCGTGTGTATTCAGATTCACTTCTTCTGGTCTAGTGGGTGGGAAGACGCCCTATATGTACAGAGGGGGCCTGTTCTTCCCCCCTGCCCCAGACGCACGGTACTGCTACAAGTGGTGCACATGTCAGTTACGTGCTCCCTTTTAGCATATCACACCTGGGCCGTAATATTGCCACACGGAGCTGTCGTCATTTAACAAACATTGGCTTAGTAACGTTCTTTCATATTCTTAGGCCATCTATTTGCCACGTTTTAGGTATATAAGTAAGGGCAGGTAATAGGTGGTGGGTGGGGAGGTGGTAAAGTCATTATTTGAGAAGTTTCGCAACGAGTCCGTCCCCATCCTTCGACAGCAGCTTGACCACGGCCTCGTGCCCGTGCGCCGCGGCCCACGACAGCGGCGTCCGCTCGTACTTGTCCTTGCTGTCGACGTCGACCTTGCCTGTGCCGAGCAGCAGCTTGACCACGGCCTCGTGCCCGTGCGCCGCGGCCCACCACAGCGGCGTCTGCCCGTCGTTGTCCCTGCTGTCGACGTCGACCTTGCCTGTGCCGAGCAGCAGCTTGACCA